TTCGTTCGGAATGAGTGTGAAGTTCGTGGGTTGAAAGTTCACTTGGAAGTAAGACTGTGGCAAGTGCTGCCACAGTTTCTCTGTCGTTGGCCAGGGTTGCCATTGCAACTGAGCCTCCTGATTGAGGCTGCACATTCTATTGCGGTTGTCAGTCCATGTGGCGTTAAAGGTGTCAATCAGTTCCTGTCYCTTGGCGKCCACAGGTTTCTCTTTTAACTTGTGTTGTAGTTCCTTGTGTGCCTCTTGGGTCTTAGCTGTAAYYGTSTCKATTACTGCTGCCCGTGCCTGCATGAAACCRAAAGTGTGCTGGTTTCTTTGGAACGAGCAGCGCATTCTCCAGGCCTGCATGAGGACTGTCAGCCTGGTGTAGGAGAAGAGGTTGGCCATAAAGGGTGTCCAAGTATTGCTACCGGGGGGAGGACCCCCCAACAGCAAGGTGCGGATGTTCCAGGGCAAATGTTCATTGGTTAGATAGTGCCAGGCGGCATCCCACCATCTCCATAGCTGCAGGACCATCGGGCAGTCCAGCAGACAGTGCTCAAGGGTCGCCCGCTTCCTTGGGAAGGAGTGGGAACAGTAAGAGCATATGGGGGATAGTATCCCTTTCTCAGTAAGAGCATATGGGGGATAGTATCCCTTTCTCTTCCATGTCAGTTCTCGCTGTCAGCCAGTCGGGCGTCGGCAGACATCTGTGAAGAATTTGCCACTGCAGGGCTCTATGGTTTGTCGGTTTGAATGCACGCGTAGGTGGACCATTTCAGGTCGTGCAGGTCCTGTGCTGTCAAGGGGGAGTCCCGCTCCCATCTTCGGGAGACGGTTTGTGTGACGGGGACATATTTGCGGCCCATCCTGTAGCCTTTTTTAACTGTGTAYTGCCAGAGGGACATAGGGTGTGAATCATGGCCTGTCCATTCCCACTCAGCTGGATCAAACGGTAACAGGAGAAGAGGGGTGGATGGTTCATATAAGTAGGGGCCTTCTTTCGGATCTTCCACCACTCTGATCCTGGTGAGCAGAGGGGTTGGGCAGGTCATGTTCAGGTCCTCGTCCTTTAGCAGTTTGGACCAGCGCTCGCCCGGGCTCGCCGGGCAGTGTGCCTGCAGGTTAGCTTGGTCTGCCACTACACTGTGTACTTTGTACACTGTCATGGGGAGGGGTAGAGAGGCCACTGTCGTCACCCAGTCGTGTGTGTCAATTGATGGTCCTTTCCTGAGGGAGCGGATCCAGGCCAGCGGGATCGCCTCCTGGATCTCTTGCAGTCCTTGCTCCATGTTTCTTATCGGGCCCGTTTTTTCCTTGACCTTTTCTGCAGTCGCCCAGTCCGCCGTCTTTGTGTCCCACAAGTCCTGGATTTTGTAAATTCCTTTTCTCACCCAGTTCAGCCATTTCCTTTGTGATGTGGGAAGGCTGCAGATACAGATGATTTCAATCTTGCACTCTAGGCTACGCGGTGTTTGTTTGTTTTCCATTGCCCGGGACCACTTGCAGTCTAAATTCCGCTGTGAAGAAAAGTCGCACCGCGGAGTTTGTGACTCCAGTCCAGTCAGTCACGTGGCCGTTTTTTTTTTTTTTTTTTTTTTTTTTTTTTTTTAATTTTTGGTAAATTTTTTTTTTTTTTTTTTTTTTTTTTTTTTTTTTTTTTTAATTATCCAATTTTTATTAACAGGGCCCAGTGCCCAAGGCGAAGCACATCAGCACAAAATGACCATCGAGGACAGCCAGGTTGACCCACCCCACCGGGAGTTGGGATCCCTGTCCCTGTAAACACTTTCTTCGCACCTTTGTTTAAATCCAGCACCTGCCCAGACTACCAGAGGCAGCAGATGCCACCCACAAAACACTGTTGCAACAACCTACCCAGGGCACAAGAAGGCACCAAATGCAAAAGAAGAAGACACTCTATCTACTCTGACCAACAAGGGTGAGCTGCCCAATGTTCTTGAAACCAAGCAATACCCTTAGCTGGCGACGAAGCAGAAGAAACTTTGCGTCGCCAATCTATCTGTATCGCTAATCTAAGAGCATGCTTAGCACGAAGCTGCAATTCAACCAGCGTGCTTCGGTTACCATGCCAAATGGCTTCATTTCGCGCTTTCCAAATGGTCCATAACAAAGCGCCCCGCGTGGCCGCAAACACATATCGCAAGGGTGGAGAAACGTCAGCAATAAGAGAACCCAAAAGTATGCCATCAGCCACCCAGAGCCGAGGCGCAACAAGGGGGCCAACTTCTCTCCACCAGGTCCAGAAAGCGTCTATCACTGGGCAAGTTACCCAAAGGTGGGTAAAATCTTCTACCCGATATCCACAGGCGCAAATCTTGCAAAACGGGTCTCCCCAGGCCGACCTTCGAAAAACCCACGCCTCTGTAGGAACTGCAACATACATGGTAAGCCACATAATGCCGCATGCCTTGGAACAGGAAGGGTCGGCAGCAGCGCCCAGAAATGACTGAGTCTGCGAAGAAAATCAGAGTTCTGAACTGCTCGCAGTCGGCCCAATGCCGTCCAACGCTTACATATGCACGCTGGTATATCCTCCTTTGGCAACAAAAGATTATATGCAAGCTTAACTGAAAAGTCGAGCACAGAACAGAGCCGGCGAGGTCTGACAGGGTCACGCCAGTACCAATCCCGCAGGTCGAACTGGAGCCGACCAGAGGTGGTGGAAACAGCAAACAGAAGAAACTCTTTCCTTTCGGGCTGTTGCCACCCTGTTGCAATACACAAACAGGTACCAAATCATCAAGGCCAGTCACCACAGGAACAACGGACGATTCAACCAGGGGCGATCCCAAGCCTGTGTATCCATCTTTGATTTCCCACTGCGACAGCTCAGCTAATGCGTTCGGACCCAAGCGGTCCAAATGCCAGAGGTGACAAGGGCGATCCTGATGAGCTGAACGAAACCACATACCTAGCAACACACTTCTCTGAGCAATACATTCCACCCAGGCAGGAGGCACGGCTTCAATTATGCAATGTAAGTTCCTATCAACATTTCGAAGTCCCTGAAGGGCCACACGCAGCTGCTCCAGAGGCTTCCAGTTCCAAGATTGGAAGTCCCAAAGATCAGCGAGGAGAACCACACCACGTTCAAACCAGGCCTGACCAAAAGCATGCAACCCCACAAAAGAACAAGGTAAACCATCATCCCTCACTATACAAGGGTTATAAAAAATAGGCTGAGCCAACAGTCTATCATAGGAGAAAACTGGTTGCCTATGGGAGGGAAGCACCTTTCTCCACTCAACCAATATATCTTTCCAGGGGGACGACTGCAACCGTTTTCGGCAAAAGAACAGGGTCAAAAGAGCAAGTTGCACATCTGCCAAGCGATCCAAGCCAAAATCCTCAGCCAACAACCACGTCGCCAATCTGCGCCATGTGGCATCAGCAGGGGCCAGGAGGTAACGAACAGGCCACTTTGTGGACATTGCTTTAGTTTGGAGGGGAGGGAAGAGAAGCCCCAGCCCTCCGTGGCAGCGCTTCTGAATCACCTTATCCCATGCCACTTTGGGAAGTATGGGCTCCGACGTGGCACGTTGTTTCCACAAATATTAGCCAAAAGTTGTTTGTATTGCAATTCTACACAACATCATTTTTTTTTCAGATTTTTTTGGATTTGATTTTTTTTTTTTTTTTTTTTTTTTGNATTTGATTTTTTTTTTTTTTTTTTTTTTTTGCGCTGAGGCTGCCCGGGGCCATGCCCGGGGGTCATGCCCGGCCGGTCACCCGGTCGTCAATCCGGGCATGACATCGGGACCCGGGCGCCCGGGATATCTCCCTAGAGTATACTTCCTAAAGGTGTGCGAGCTAAAATGCTGGAAATTTAACTTTGTGGATGTATGGACCACTGTACCAGGTTAAATTCATTCATAATGAAGTTAAATGAGCCGTCACACTATAGTACCCCCTCATCTCTTAATTTGAAACTTAATTATTAATTACAGAAAAAGAAAGGGCGGCGGCCTTGAGACATCATCGTCGAGCTGACCGGCCTCAGGTATTCAGAATTATTTTACTTCATTCATCTATTTTCTATTAAAATTTTAAATTCTATTTCCAATTTTCCATCTGGGTTGCAGTCCAGTGACCCAGGGGTGAAGTCCCACCGCTGAAGTTGAGTTTTCTCAACGCTGAGCTTTCTATCACGGGTGGCATGGTGGGACGGAGCTCTGCCGTTGATGTATTGAGAATCTAAGGGTACCAAAATACAGGAGAATAACCTATTAGATTTGGTCTTTTTGTACATTTTTTCGTTGACGTGAAATCCGTTTTGTCGTATGCTTTGGCCCTTTCCGCTTGGGCAGGAAACCATTTTCCATTGAGAAAACTACCCTACAGAGGGTAGGGTACATTTCTCAACTTATTTGCCTTTCATTTTTTTTTTTTTTTAAGACATCATTACACCCTGAAAAGGAGGAGCTCTGACAGCTCTGTTTGGCTCTCTCGCATCAAACTCTCTTCCTTCTTTGGGCAATGAATGCATCTGGCCATCCACGTTGTCCCTGTCCATTTTACGAATGGTGACCTCCTGTCCCCTCACCACGGGAAGTTCCCTTTTCCACGGAGACATTCGCTCCGACTGTGCCAGACGTGTTTCATTTCTCCGAGTTACTTAATAAAAAATAAGGAGAAAAGCTGTTTCTAGCGATTTTTTCAGTTTTTAAATTTCTTGTTTCGAATTTATTAATGTCAAAATAGTGTCACACGTTACGTTTTCTAAACTTAAACTTGGGCGGGTGTACCAACTGAACTAGCCCTGTTGGTAAGAATATCTGAATTTTCAATTTTGTAATTTTACTAATTTACTAATTTGAAATTTCGCAATTTTTTATTGGATTAAAAAAAAAA